TTAGGAAGATAGACATGTCTTAACATAAAACAACACTAGCAATAATAAGATAGAATATAATTAAATTGCGCGGTATATATTCTGAGTATAGGAGAATGGTGGGGACAATTGTTATGAGACAGAGAAGCATGGACTTCACAGAAGAGGAGAGATTCATGCTGAGCTTTGAAGGATTTGGTTAGGTGGAAAGGAGGAGGGGAAGAACTGTGATATGGTAGCAAGAATACTGAATTTGGAAACAAAGAATCTAGATTTTTTTTTTCCTGGCTCTACTATTTATTACCTAAGTGATATTGGAAAACTCTCTTCACTTGCCTGGTCTCACATATAAAATAAACTAATTGGCCCAGACAATTATTATATTTGGATTATAGAGAGGAGACTACCTTGTCAGGAGCAGAGAATGCGTGTGGAATGAGAACTGGTTAAGAATAAAAGCTCACATTTATATTTATATAAGGCTTTAAGGTTTGTAAAGCATTTTATGAACATTATCTCCTTTGATGTTCAAAACGATCCTTTGAAATAGCTGTTATTAATTTACCCATTTTACAGATGAAGAAACAGATTCAAAGAAGTCAAAAGGCTTGCCCAGAATTACACAACTGATAGGTAATCTGCTCATACAACTGGATTACACAATTAATAAGCTACTGAAGCAGGGCCTAGGTCTTCCTGAATCCAATTTCTGTGCTCTAGCCCATGCTACCTCTCCTAAATGAAGTGGGTTAAGATGTATGGAATAATAACAGTTGGCATTTATATAGCATTTATATAAATATTTATATATTTAAGATTTGTAAAGTACTTTGGTGACTTGCCCAGGGTCACCCAGCTAGTAGTATTTGAGGCAGGATTTGAACTCAGGCCTTCCTGACTCCAGGTCCAGCTCTCTATCCACTGCATCACTTACCTGCCTATCTGCAAATACAGACTACAACAGTTTCATATGGAAATTTAACTGCTATAAATAAATAGCTATCATGAGGAGATAAAAAAGAACCTAAAAGTCAACTTAGTAAAAAAAAACCCAAAAAACTTGATTTGACTTACTCACCAAGTGGAGAGATATGGCAGCCAAATGCAATATAAATTTAGACTATAAACTCAATTATACAAGCTTACAGAGAAGAATGATCTAAGATTATGAGCAGTATTGCCTCATAAAATCGAGAGAAGCAGTGGACAATAAAACTAGTTTAAAGAAAGTTTGGTGCAGAGCCAAGTAAACAAAATTATACATGACTATAAAGGAAAGAAGAAGCATTAAATCAAATGTAAATATTGTGAAATTAAAGAGAACAAATATGACTCCAAAGAAAAGATTTCAGAAGACAGAGGTCCACAAGTGTTGCACATTGCACATATTTTCAGGTTTTTTAATGCATTGCTCAATCATGCTGATTTTTTCCTCTTTTTTTTTTCTCTTTCTGTCCTTAAAAAATAGTAATTGTTAGGGGGCAGCTAGGTGGCTTAGTGGATACAGTACCAGCCCTGAAGTCAGGAGGATCTGAGTTCAAATCTGACCTAAAAAGACATCACCAGAAACTTATTTATTTGAATTTAATATTTTATTTTCCCCCAATTACATATAAAACATATTTAACATTCATTTTTAAAAAGTAAAATTTTAATTTTAAATTATAGCAGCTTTTTTGTGATGGCAAGGAACTGGAAATTGAGGAGATGCCCATCAGCTGGGGAATGGCTGAACAAGTTGTGGTGTATGATTGTGATGGAATACTATTGTGCTATGAGAAATGATGAGCAGGATGCTCTCAGAAAAACCTGGAAAGACTTACAGGAATTGATGCAAAGTAAAATGAGCATAGGAGAGCATTGCATATAGTAACAGCAATATTGTATGATGACCAACTATAAATGATTTAGTTATTCTTAGCAATACAATGATCCAAGACAATACTGAAGAACTTATGATAAAAAAAATGCTATCCATCTCCAAAGAAAGAACTGATAGTGTCTGAATGCAGATGGAAGCATACTTTTTTCTTTATTTTTCTTGGCTTTTTTTTTTAATCTGTGTCTTCTTTCACAACATGACTAACACGGAAATATGTTTTGCATGACTACATGTGTATAATCTATACCAAGTTGTTTGCTTTCTCAATGAAGGGAGAGGAGGGAGGGAGAGAATTTGGAACTCAAAAATTTTTTAAAAAATTAATTAATTAATTTTTAGTTTTCAATACTTGCTTTTATAAGATTTTGAGTTCTAAAATTTCTCCCCTCCTTTTCCTTCCCCCTCCCCAAGATGGCATGCAGTCTGATACAGGCTATACTTGCATGATCATATTAAACATATCTCCACATTAGTCATGTTGTAAAAGAAGAATCAAAAGGGAAAAACCATAAGAAAGAAAAAAACACAAAACAACAAAAGAAAGAGAAAATTGTATGCTTTGATCTGCATTCAGATCTTATAGTTCTTTCTCTGGATGTGGATAGCATTTTCCATCACAAGTCTTTTGGAATTGCCTTAGATCATTGCATTGCTCAGAAGAGCTAAGTCTAACAAAGTCAGTCATTGCACAATGTTGCTGTTGCCATGTACAGTGCTCTTCTGGTTCTGCTCACTTCACTCAACATCAGTTCATGCAAGCCTTTCCAGGTTTTTCTGAAGTCTGCCTGCTCACCATTTCTCATGGAACAATAGTATTCCATTACATTCATATACCACAACATGTTCAGGCATTCCCCAATTGATGGGCGTCCCTTCAATTTTCAATTCCTTGCCACCACAAAAAGAGCTCCTATAAACATTTTTGTACACATAGGTCCTTTCCCTTTTCTTTTTTATCTCTTCGGGATAAAGACCTAGTAGTAGTATTGATTGGTCAAAGGGTATGCATAGTTTTATAGCCCTTTAGGCATAGTTCCAAATTGTTTTATACAATGGTTGAATCAGTATACCACTTCACCAACAATGCATTACTGTTCTTTTTGAATTCTTCCATGGCCTAAGACCAATCATATATTCTTCTTTGAGGCTTTGGTTATAACAGTTTTGACTTTGCTGTCTTCTTCTGAGTTTGTGCTTTGATCTTCTCTGTTACCATAGTAACTTTCTATTATCATGATCTTTTTCTGCTGTTTGCTCATTTTTCCAGCTTATTTCTTAACTTTTAACTCCATGCTAAAGTGGGGCTCTGCTTCTAGAGTGGAGGAGGCACTGCCTCAAGCTTCAGTTTTTTGTGTTGCTGTTTCAGAGATAATTCTGGAGACCTGTAAGTTTTCCGTTCTTCCAAGGTATGATCTAGGGAGAGGTGTTTTTACCATTCTCCTGGCCTGGACTCTTGTCTGTGAGCAACCACAAGCACTCTTTTCTGCTCTGGGTCCCAGCTCCCATGAGGCTGCAAGTTCTGGTGTGTCAGTCCTTCTCCTTGCTCTGGGACTATAATGTGGATCCATAGATGGGCAACGCATCAGAGTCCTGCCCCTGTTGCCAACGAAGGGACCTCTATAATCTCCTTCTGACCAGTTGTCTGACACCATTGTGTTCTGTGGGTTGAGAGATCTCGAAACCCCCACTGCCACCACTGCTTCACCACCCTTCAAGGTTTACTGTTGGTTTGCTGGCCAGGCCCTGAACTGGACTGTGTGTCACTCTCACCCTGGTGCAACAGACCTTTTTCTGCCAACCTTCTAAATTGTCTTGGGCTTGAAAATTGCTTTACTCCATCCTTTTGTGGGATTTGCTGCTTCAAAATTTGCATTGAGGCATTATTTAAAGGTATGTGGAGGGGTTTTGGGAAGAATTCAGAAAAGTCTCTGTCTTTTCTCTGCCATCTTGGCTCCACCCCCTCAATAGAAACTTATTTTTAAAAAAAGAAAGCTTGTCAAGAGACCCAACTAGGCAAAGTCATTTTGAGAGCATTTAAGAATGAAAATAGAAGAAGGATAACAAATAGTTTAAAAAACAAAGCAGGAAAGATATGCGAAGATTTTTATAACAATTGTTTTTTACCATCAAGGACAGTAGAGTCATCATACTTGGATTCTAACATTATAAACCTGAATTGCTTATAGACTAAGTTGAAATGATGCTGAAGAGAACAAAGTTGGAAGAAGCAAGTGTATTAGACCAAGCATACACAGAGGAGGCATGTGCTAAAGGTGATATAATTGTGAGGACATTAAGTGATTGATTCACAAGGTGGCTGAAGGAAGGTAAGATATTAAAGTTGTGGCGGAGGGGGACCTTAGCATTTATTAATATATTTAAAAACGTGAACAAGGTCAGACCAAACACTTGACACTTACTAGCTGTGTGACCCAGGGCAAGTCACTTAACCCCAATTGCCTGGAAAAAAAAAAGTGAACAAGAGAACAGCAACAACTACCAACCTACATGCTTACTTTTCAATCTACATAGAATTTTTATGAGAACTATCTAGGCATGCAGTAAAGACAGTATTGGTAGGAAACAGGCTTTCTTTCACAAGTGGTTGCTGAATGGTAGACCTTAACTTGCACAATTGACTGAAAGAGATAGAGAATATGAGATTCCACTTAATTTATTGTTGGTCAATAATTCAAAAAGCATTTGGTCCATGGAAGAAATTACCTTAAAGGTATTGTTTTCCAACAAGATTCTTTCCCATTCATTCGCTGTTGTTGTTCAGTCATTTCAGTTGTGTCTGACTCTTTGTGACCCCATTTGGGGTTTTCTTGGCAAAGATACTGGAGTGGTTTTCCATTTCCTTTTCCAGCTCATTCAACAGATGTGGAAACTGAGGCAAGAGGGGTTGCCTTTGCCCAGGGTCACAAAGTTAGTAAGTATCTGAGGTTAGATTTGAGCTCAGGAAGAGAACTCCTCCTGACTCCAGGTCTGGCACTCTGGCACTGTGCCACCTAGCTCCCATCCATACATCAAAATTATTTATTATCTCTTGAAAGAGGAAATAACAGAAATAAGCTAGTTCGATAATATACTGATCATAAATATCAGATGAAGCACAAAACAGGAAATGTATTCTCACCAAAGGTTTTTACCACTGTTGCAGAAGAGATCCAGCACAGAATCCGATTTACAGAGGGAGTTTCTATGGATGGTAAGGTCCTTCAAATCCTCCTTTTTTCGCATGACACAGCTGGTTTTATCAAGCAACACTGCAGAGATGCCTGGAAAAGATCTGTAATCATTTAACAGAGCTTAGCCAAAAGATATGATCAAACAGTTTCTCAAAAGGAAGAATTTCAAACTAGTAATAATCAGACAAAAGAATGTTCCAAATCATGAGTAATAAGAAAAACAGAAACTGAAACAACCATAAAGTTTCATCTCATATCCACCAAGTTGGCAAAGACTAAAAAAGATGGAAATAGTCTACGTTGGAGGCATTGTGGGGAAGATAAGCACACTAGTGCATTGCAGGTGGTACTGTGAATCAGAACAACCACTTTGGAAGGCAATTTGGAATCATGCAAATAAGATAACTAAAAAAGTCAATACCCTTTGACCCAGAGATTTCACTAGTAGGTATACACCCCAAAGAAGTCATTGATAAGAAGAATGTCCCCAGATATACTAAGATATTTAGAGCAACACTTTTTGTAGGAGCAAAGAAGTAGAAACGAAGTAGATGCCCATCCAATAGGAAAGAGCTAAATTAGTTGTGGTACACAAATGCAATGAAATATCACTGCACCATAAGTAGCAACAAATATAATGAATATAGAGAAACAAGTAAATGACCTGATGTAGAATGAAGTAAGCAGAGCCAAGAAAGCAATATATACAATGACTATGGTAATGTAAATGGAAAGAACAAGCACACAATAAAAGTGAATGTTGTAAAATTACAAAGAGCAAGTATAGAGACATACAAGAAGATATAACCACCTCATTCCTTTGCAGAGATAAAAGGTTTATCAGTGTGGAACACTGCACATATTTTCACAATTTTTCAATGTATTGATTGGTGTTACTGATTTTTTCTTTTCTTTTTTTTTTAAATATTATTTGTTATATAGGATGACTCCCTAGGAAAGAGGAGGAAGAGGGATAGTGGGAAAAATTTTGGCTGTCATGTAATGTAAAAAATGATATCAATAAAAATTTATTTTAAAAAATAAGAGTTTAGATTAATCACCTAGAAAAAGCTTATTGGATAAAGAATATCTATTGTCCAAATTATGACTTGCAGTTAGATGGACAACCAACAGAGCTTGACAGAGAGATCTAGAAATTGATACGTGTGTATATATTTTATACATATACACAAATATGTATTTTGACAATTTGGTGGGAGTGCATGAGCAAGGATGAATTATCTCGTGCCAGAACAAGGAGAGGTAGTCAACAGAAGGTTCACAGGAGCTCACAGCTATTGATTCACTTCTCCCCATGCTAGCCCATCTAGTTCCACAGCACACAACCTCAAAGTACTGTCAGGTGAAAAAAATGGCAGCTTTTTCCTCAATGCTCAGCTTTTAGGTTTCTCTCTGTTTTTCTCACACCAGGTTCTAAAAGAAATGTCTTTTGTATGACTAACTTTAACATATTTCTAATTATTTACATAATTCTCTCCCTAATTGGCTCACCCCTACTTCAGCGGAAGGCTAACAAAAACAATCTCTTCTTATTGGGTTTAGGTTTGGGTTCCCCTCCCCCCTAAACCCCGCCTCTGCACATTCAATAATCAACCAGATTCTGGTTGCCGGTCGTCTAGCTGCCTTTTTTTTTTTTTTAAAATAACCCGGAAACCGAAAGTAAGCCATTAGGGAAATCAAGCTTTCAAATGCTTTCTGCTTTGACTGGCGAACAGAAAATACAGTTTTCCCAATGGACCTGGTGTGTATGGATGGGAAGAATAGTGTTGTGAACTGGACTGGTACTTCCTACTGCTCCACAGAGTCTGCAAGACACTGCCTTGGTTCCTCTATCTTACACCTGGTCACTTTCTTACTCTGCTCTGTTTTGATCATTAGCATTCTAGGTCTGCTCTGGTGCCTAGCTTTTTCTGACTTATGCGTCCTGCCCCAGGACTCCAAGCAGTGAGCCTCTTCTTTCAGTATCTGGACTCCTGGTGGTTTGGACTTCTCACTGGCTGTTCAGTCGGCTCCTCTGTTCCTCTCTTCTCAACAAGAACTGGAAGGACTCAAAGCAGAGGCACACACACTCTTGAGTACTCTTTAATTCTTTAACTCTTTCTTGTTGGCCTTTGGTGGTTATGAACCTAATGTTACAACATCTTGGACAGAGAATAAGAATAATTTACTTTCCAGCAAATTGGATACAGAATTATACAAAAGAGGAAAACAGGCTGGATTATCTTCAAGAAATTACACAACTCCTTTAGAGTAAGAGGTGGTTTCCCCCTACTTGTAACACCACCCCCCAAAACTCAGTTGATGAAATCACAGGATGATAAGATATCAAGATATTACCACCCACTTATCCCATTAAGAAATATGAACATCTCTCCCTTATTGAATCAAAAGGGATTTATCCATTATTGGATAAATAATGAGCCATGCCCTTGTGAGCCTTAGAAGACACAGTCCAGTCAGTTTGAGTCAGCTGAATATAGAGTCAGGAGTACAGGAAGAGCTCAGTTTTTCATCTCTCGGTGGGGGAAGGAGGGACTTTTCTATCTCTCCCCCTTCCCTCCTATCAGCATTGGCCTCTAGCAGTTGAACTATGACCCAAAAGGAGATTCTCATCTAGCAGGTGGAGAATCAGTCTGAGAGAGTTCAAGGCAAGGCTGAGGGAGAGACCCCTACTTCAGAAAGGCACAGATACAGAGAGTCCATAACTTGAGGCTGGAAGCCGCTTCCAAGAGCAGCAAAGAAAGCCAGCCATGGACTCCAGAGAGAGCTAGCCCTGGAAATTGATAGTTGAATTGCAGAGGGGTGCAGATCTTGGGATCCCAGCTGAGAAACCAATCAACCCAACAGAGATACTGTGGCCAAGGTAGAGCTTTGTGAAAATCCACTAGGATGGAAAGGATTTCAAGGCCCTTGAATACCAAAGGAGTGAGTAGCCTTGGTCACATGCGTTCCCTACATGTCTGCTTCATGACTATCATGTTCTAAGTTTATGCCTACTCTTTTAAAAAAAATTTTATTAATGTATTTTGATTTATCAACAATCACTTCCATATGCTTTTGAGTTGAAAATTTTTCTCCCCCTTCCTCCCCCCACCCTCCCCAAGGTGGCACACAATCTGATATAGGCTTTACATTTACATTCCTATTAAACATATTTTCACATTAGTGGAGTTGTAAGCAAAAATTAAAACCAATAGAAGGAACCATCAGAAAGATGAAACGAAACTCAGCAGAAGGGAAAAATAAGTGATAGCAATTCAACTTCCATAGTTCTTTCTTTGGATGTGGACAGCATTTTCCATCCCGAGGCCTCTGGAGATGTCTTAGATCCTTGTAATGCTGAGAAGGGTTCAGTTTAACAATATTAGTCATCGTATAACGTGGCTGTTATTGTATACAAAGTCCTCTTGGTTCTGCTCACTTCACACAGTATCAGACCATATAAGTCTTTCCAGTTTTTTCTGAAGTCAACCTGTTCACCGTTTCTTATAGCACAACAGTATCCCATTACATTCATATACCACAACTTGCTCAGCCATTCCCCAATTGATGGGCATCCTCTCAATTTCCAATTCTTTGCCACCACAAAAAGAGCTGCTATGTATATTTTTGTACATGTGGGTCCTTTTCCCATTTGTTTGATCTCTTTGGGATATAGCTCTAGGTTTATGCCTACTCTTAACATGAATATTTTGTGTAGTAGTGGGAGAATGTGAGTAGTGGAGAATGCTCCAAATTTGGGGGGAATGTTTTGTAGCCGCTACTCTTACCAAGCCATGCCTTTGCTAAGATATAATTACGTCTACTGGCTGACTGTCAAGGGGAACACAAAGGTGGAGGCTCTTGAGCTTAATTACAGTACACTTCCTACAATCTGAGATAGCAACCACTCTATCTAATCTATCACCTGTTCATATCTTCTGCCAGGTAGTATGGAAAGTTTGAGATCAAGAGAGAGCACAGGCTAAAATGGAAGTAAGCTTAAGAGGATCCTTTAAGAAAATGGAGGGGAAAGGATGATAGAAATTGCTCATTTAGCAAATGCTTTGCCAACTGTAGAAAATCTTTTTAAATGACAATTCTTATCTTGGTCTGACTCCGCAGCTCTGAGACTTATGGAGACCCTGCCAAACACATTCCCTTCTGAATCTTGTCAAACAATAACCACCAATAAGTCCCTGAAAACAGACATTGTGAGGTTGTTGTTGTTGTTGTTTTTTGCCATACTCTCAGTACCTCCGCCCCCAGCTCCCAGTCTCCCTCCTGATTCATTAATTATCTAGTTAGTTAAGCCTTTCCTCAGCCCTTTAAAATATAAATAGCAAGCACTTTATAAGTCCCTATTAAATGATGGGATCAGCAACAATTACCTAATGAAATACTGGGAAAGTCGTGATTTAAAATCCCAGCCCCCTATTCTGACTCTGTCTTTGTTTGGAGGGGGATAATTGCTATGACATATAAGCTAATTGCAATGACTCTAAATGAGAGCCTTCTGCCCTAAGCTTGAGGGCTGGTCCTGATGAAAAATCACCACCTACCCAATGGGCCTGGCTTGCTTCCTTTGGTACTTTTTTGGGAGAGATTTAGAAGGAGAATGGGGAGCCTAATGTGGGCTCTCCATACCTGGAAAGTGATAGGTGAGAGCTATCTGCAGTCTCATATGACTTAGATCTGAGCACAGTTAAGGCGAGTAAAAGACACTGATGCACAGTCCCCTGACTGTAAGCCTTTCTTTTTGCCAGACTCAACACTTCTTCCTGACTATGATGATTCAATCAGGTCACAGATTTAGAGCAGGAAGGAATATTTGAGGTCATCTAGTCCTTTAATTTTATGGATGAGAAAATTGAGACCTAAAGATACTAAAACAACTTGCCTAAGAATACTATATGGTTTGGGGATGGTCTTTTCTAGAGACAGAAGGACAGATGGCAATGTGTGGAGTGTGATAGATGAGTAATTGGATTCGTATTTTATTCGATCAGTATTAATCTGTTTAATATGATTCCATAGCAGTAGTGATGATAAGTTCTGTATATTAGGCCCTGGACTTGTGAACTGCATATTGTAAGTTCAC